CCTGAACTCCGCGGGAGAATCGACCGGCGGAAGACACCACGCGCCGCGCCGCGCGGCCGGGGAGAGGAAGGCCTCCCGGAGGAGGGGGAGGCGGCGCACCTGGATTCCGCGAGGGAATCGGTCGGCGGAAGCGCCGTGCGGCGAGAGGGGCGGGGGCGAGAAAGGGTTTCAGGGGCCAAATTTGGAAAATCTGGTGGTTCTTCCGCCGTTGCAGCGGTGTCGACCTCAGCTAATCGGGTTTACAAGCGCTGGCCGAACGGGCCGGCCCGGCCCATCCTAATCGTGTCTGGCACGGCCCGGCCCAGGCACGATTATTATACAGGCCGTGTCGTGCCGGCCCGTGTGATGCAGCCTGCAGTCCAGGCACGGCTCAGCTGCTAATTGGGCCGGCCCACCGGTACGCCAGGCCCGCTAGTCTGCCTGCTATTTGGCGCACTGGGCTTTTTTAGCCTATCTTACCTGTTGGGCTATATAGAGATATATAAAAAAATAAAAATAGATAATCAGGCCGTGTCGTGCTGGCCCACGTGCTCAGCCTAGCAGCCCAAGCACGGCGCAGGGCGTGCCGCATGCTGCATGCCGTGCCTGGCCCATGGCGGGCCGTGCAGGGCGTGCTCGCGGGCTGGCCTGGTTGGCATGACCCATTCGGCCAGCTATATTTACAAGTGCACAAAAGTTAAGAGATTTACATGTGGGCTTTTCCTATTGTGCCTTTGTAGCAACACTTGACGATCCCTACAAAACCTACAGGAAAATGACACTGCTCGACTAAAATATTGGCTTCCCTAAAAAAAACTAGAATAATGGCTGTTACTCAACAAAATAAAAAAATGGCTGCCCTAAAAAAATAAAAAAATGGTAGCACGAGCTGACAAAGGAATGGAAAATACTCGGAGATAACTATGAAAACACCTCTCTAGATCCTCGAATTGAAAGAGAGATCGAGAGGGATCAACAATCCTAATTCTCGCTATTTGGAATGGGTCCAATTCTAGGCCATCTAGGTAGTAAACATGAAAAAAAAATGCAGAAAACCTACTTAAAAACTAAGGAAAAATATTTAACAATAAAAATGCCACCAAAATCTAGAAATACATATTATAAAAATAGCTAACATAATATACTTGTATAAGCTGATAAAATTGCAATGTTATACTTGTTAAACTACTACACAAAAAGTACCTACAAAAAGAAAAATGTCGTCATAGAGTACAACTAGCAATTTTTTCATGGTCTATGTTAAAAAAAAGTGAACACAAGCACCTAGCAAAATTGCAATGATTTTCTATTTGCCATGACTTATGAGAAACAAAATTACTGCCGATCTGCCTCCGAGGTGACATAAATCACCTCGGTATTGGGAATGTTGAAGGAGATGGCCAACTTGCACAAAAGAAGGATTTCTCGTACATCCGGCCGCTTGGCGGGACAATTTCCTATGCTGCATTTCCAAGAGTTGTCTTGTTCGACTCTGAAAAGCCAGATCGTGTGTGGAAGCGGGATTAATGGTTGTAGTGGTAGACCCATGTCCAGAACGGGGAAAAGAGGTTTTTTAAGGTTGTGGCGCATGCGATTCCCAAAAATTTTCCATGGGCTGCATCCAACTTCCTATCTCAACATGTGAGCAAATGAAATCTAGCATCGCCAATCATTGATGGGACGTGGAGGAAGGTTGGAAGAAAATGCATTGGTGTTCTGAGGAGTGGTTATCTACGCCGAAGTTTTTGGGTGGGATGGGCTTCGTGACATGATACTGTTCAATCAAGCTATGCTAACACGATAGTGTTGGCCTCATCACTGAACCTGATTCCTTATAGGCAAGGGTGCTCAAGGGGCGGTATTTTCCGTGATGGTGGTTTTCTGGAATGATACACAACCAAACATCCTCTTTTTTCACATGGAGAAGTTTGCTATTCGGTTGTGAACTCATCCAGAAATGAGCTTGTGGGGTAGGGGGCTGTTAATGATGCCAAGATTATAATATTAAAGGACAACCGGATCCCGGGCTTCTTGCCTGGTACATTTACTCCCTTGCTACCCAACCTAGAAAATACAATATTCAATTCTTGCTTAATGGTTCTTTGTTATTTTGGAATAAAGAGGTTGTCCGTAGTTTGTTTGTTGATATTATTGTCAAACAGATCCTACTGGTACCTGCCAGTTTTACGGGAGGCACTATTAGAAAAGGGCTAATTAATGGTGCATCTGTCTTGGTCATTAATGGTGGTACAGGGCGCCACTATTATCACACCATTAGTAACAAAATAGTAATGGCGCATCTATAGTGCGCCATTACTATCTGGCTTAGTAATGGCGCACTTCTAACAAAAAAAATTTAATTTTTTTTCAGAAATTTTTTT